CACTGCCTCCCCCACTCCCGCTGCCTCCCCCGCTCCCACTCCCCTCTAGGAACATCAGCAGACTCCAAATCGAGACATGGTCCAAACTATTATTAGAAAACGAAAAGAAATAAAAACGTTCCCGCCAATTCCATGCCTTCCCCGCTGTGTTGGATTGCTTATCGGGGGCTAGGTCCCACTTGCACGGATTAAGAGATACTGACCGTAGATAGCAAAGATCAATGGCCCATATCTCCTAATTTGCCCAAGTGGGACCTTGCCCCGGTATGCAACCATAGCCAAGGATGATGAACAACGGCCAGTTCCCGCCAATTCTTGGCAATTCCATGCTTAGCTCATCTGGTACTACACCCATAAACTGTTGGCATAGAGACCCTTCTTCGAATCCAGATGCAATCAGAAGAACAGGAAAACATCATTTTGAATTACCTAGTGCCGCTCAGGCCAATCATGATATCGCAAGGCCGTAGAAACGAAAACATAAAAAAAAAACGTGCAACGAGCCTTGCACCTCCTTGCGAAGAGCTGGCATTTCCGAATCCTATAGCCCTAAAACGGTGTGGCACTCATCGATCGTCCTACAATAGCCATTGCTGCTCATATCGCTGCAGAGTAGCACTCGAAAGTCCCTTATACAATTCGGAAAAGTCATAACACCTCCCCGCGACGAAACCTTTGTATCCATTTCCCGCCAACCGGGGCTAGGTCCCACTTGCACGGATTAAGAGATTCTGACCGTAGATAGCAAAGATCAACGGCCGCTGTGTAATATGGCGGGAAAGTATTTTGCAGGATGCAAACATGACACCCAAAGTTTATTTTGGGGCCTGCCGCGCCTTTCTCCCTGTTTGGGCGGAAATGGATACCCTACACAATATGACCGCCGAACTCAGGTTCGAAGAAGTCGGAGGAACGACATCTTTCAGTTGTTCCTTCTTCATCCCCCGCCTTCCCCGCAGGTTTCGGGGAAGTCGGCGGAGCGACATCTTTCAGTGCGGTCGTCGGAGGCCCTTCCTCCTAGGCTGCTGACAGAGTGTGAGCTACGGAGGGATGATTCAGAAATAGGTTGCTGACGAGTTGGCGATGGCAGGTCGCGGAGGGGCTGGACAGCATCGTCGTGCTTCTCTGCAGCAGACCACGGCAACGAGGAAGGGGGTTCAGACGAATTCGCTAAGCGCCATAAAGACTCACGAGAGAGCATTTCAAAGGGGAGTGAGGACTGAACAGAAAGCGGCGGCGCGGTGGTGGGTGTTAAATCCCGCTCGTATGCTGAGAAACAAAGCGCATCTCGAACAGAAGGCGGAGAGGAAGGAGGCGGGGGAGAGGTAGATGGGCGAGAAGGAGAACGGCCCCTGTGACCGAGAGATTCTAACAGCAGCTCGTACGATCGAGTGAAAACATTTCTACTGCCATCGTGCCTTTGATGGCACCGATAGCACACCCAGTCGTAACCGAGGGAAGAGGTTGGGGTCATCGCTCCACAGTTTCCACATTTCCTGTGCCTGACGCTCTTGCGGCCGAGTCCACAGTGTCCCGCACAGGCCCCAAGACGACGACGTGAAAATTGTGTAAGGCCTATACACAATTTCCAAGAATCTTCGGCAGTAGAAGAAGAGGATTCCGACGGAGTGACTCCTTCTTTGGCAGTAGAAGAAGAGGATTCCGACGGAGCGACTCCTGGCGAAGCGGGAGGAGGCGGCGACGGCTTCTTAGAGGTTGAAGTCAGCTCTCCACGATTCCCATATTCCCCCTCGCCGTTGACAGTACAGGGTGGGGGCTGGGTGTCATCTTCCCGGCCATCAGAAGAAAGAGAACAAAGTTTATCTTCGTCGTGAGCAGCAGAGGGGAGGAGCATCCTTCGCCGCCCCACCTTCACCCCATGTCCCGACTGAGGGCAGCCCCTCTTTCGACCCCTGGTCCTCGCCGTTGATGCTCTCTTCCTCCTCATCTTCGGTTCCTGCTCTGGATCTGGCCCCTTGTTCATCTCTCCAAGGGTTCTTTTGACAGGGGTACAGCTGCTTGCCTCCCGGCGGATCAGAGAAGCAGCACTATAGTTTCTGGCCGATTCCTTTCCATCTGATTGCCTCAGGTTCGACTCCCTTCCAGCGCCTCCACTCAGACCGTCCCCCAGCTTTCCCTCCCTCTCAATCAAACCATCTCCCATGATCTCGCTCTCCCTCTTACTCACGCCATCTCCCATCTCTCCCTCCCTCTCAGTCTCACCTTCTCCCATCAATCCCATCTCACAGTCTCCCTTCCTCTTACTCACACCATCTCCCATGAATCCCATCTCTCCCTTCCCCTTACTCAGACCATCTCCGATCTCTCCCTCCCTCTCTTGTGCGGCTGCGTTACTCTCGACCTCCGCCTCCTTGTCTTCTCTCATTTTCAAAGATTGTGGACCTCTAGTTCTTGATCTGCGTTGGATGCCCTCAGCAGGCGCTCGTCAATGCGTTTCTCCGACCACTCCATTCCTATCCCCGAGAATTTATAAGTCCGATTCATAACTGTTTCACCGCAGTTCTTGCACTTCCCGCAGAAACTGTCCGTGGTGACCCCTTTCGATCCCTCTGGGCATTTATTCCTGTGCCCACACTCTTGGCAACGGAAGGGATCGAACACTTGCTCACGCTGAGGAACATCGGGACGCTGGAGGCGAATCGGATGGCCGCGGACCCGCCACTGTTCAGAAACAAACCCGCATCTGCTGGTTCGACGGTCTGCCGTTTTCCGCCCTCGCTCTCGCTGTCCTTCGATGTTTCCTCCGTCGCACCGCCTTCCATGCCATAGATACCTTCTTTCTCCTCCTCGCTCCTCTCTTTCTTCTCCTCTGCCTCCGCTTCTTTGTGGATCTGCTGACCTCTGCCTGTACCCCCTTCCTCCGTATCTCTTCCTCCTTCTTGAGTAGATCTCCGTCCATTTTCCCCGTGCTCTCTCTCTCTCTCTCTCTCTCTCTCTCTCTCTCTCTCTCTCTCTCTCTCTCTCTCTCTCACGTATCGTTTGCCGCTATGGGTGACTCTCATCAATCTCCGCTCTTATGCGTATTTTCGTCAGCTCACCTCTCACGTGGCGGGACTGTACACTCATGAACTGTTTCGATTTGAATTTCTGTATTGCTGCTTTCACCTTGTGGCTCCGTGAATGTCGAGGAAATTTCGTGTAGATTCTGCGGAACTGTACGCGTCAGGGCATACTCACACTAGCACTATTGAACTTGTTTCTGGACGGAATTGCAGCCAGATGCATATCAGTCCCAGCCGTAAATGCAGTCAGGTACTCTTCAGATAGTGGTATTTTGAGTACGCCTTCAGTCTGTGAGCTCCAGCCACCACCGTTTTTTGTCACGTATAGGCTTTTTCCCTCTACCTCCCTCCAGTCACCACCCCTTTTGGGATAATTAATGGTTAGGGCGTTTTCTTTTTTCAGTCTGGTCCGTTTTGTGCGACCATCCCCCCCTTTCCTTGTAGTTGCGTCAGTGGTTGGTTCCCTCTTCAGATTTTAGTCTCCAATTCGGGTGCTGCAACGAACGATCCGGTCGCCATCATCTACTGTGCGAGTGCCCACACAAAAATAATGGTGGTCTATATTGAGCGGAAGATTCATCCTGATTTGCACATTTGGTGAGCGGTGCGACGGGGCCCAAAATCTCCTGAGGGAAAAAGAAAGGGAAAAGGGAAAAGACATAAAACCTCCCCCCGCCCAAACCATTGTGGAAAAGTCATAAAACCTACCCCCGCCCAAACCATTGTATCCAATTTCCCCCCGAACGGGGAAAAAAGTGCCGCAGGCCCCAAAATCACTTTGGGCGTCATTTTTGCACCCTGCAAAACACTTTCCCGCCATTTTTACACAGCGGACGTTACCGGCCCAGCCAGGGGCAAGGCCCCACTTGCGCAAATTCCGAGAGTTCGGCCGTTGATCTTTGCTATCTACGGTCAGTATCTCTTGATTCGTGCAAGTGGGACCTAGCCCCAGGGTGCAAAAATGGCAAAAATGACACCAAAAGTGATTTTGGGACCACCTGCGTTACTTTCTTCCTCGTTTGGGGGAAATGGAAATGGATACAAAGACCCAAGAGCCTAGCTCAGTGGGTACACCCATGAACTGTTGAAATCGAATCCAGTTGATGGAACTTGACGAGTGAAACCAACTACTAATGAATTGCTTGGGGCCGGTCAGCTCAATGATAATATCTCAAGGCCGTCGCCTCTTAAGAAAAAAAAAAAAAAAAAAAAAAAAAAAAAAAAAAAAAGAAATGGATACAAAGGTTTCGTGGCTGGGAGGTTTTATGACTTTTCCCAGAAAGAAAAAGAAGGAAAACCATGCGCTGCAATTCCTTTCACCCAGATCACACAATCTGGGTCTCGCTCCACTGCAAAAAATTCGTACTCAATCGTACATGAACGTCTCCCGGAATCAACCACATACAATTGGACAGATCCAACATTTAGAACGTATGTGGACCATTGCGTGGTCTGGGTGCATTTTGAACGCTCTGTGGTTGGGCCCGGCGAAGTAGGGAAAAGGAGGGAGCGCAGATACCAAGCTCACGAAAAAGAAGCTGTGGTGTCAGAGCGAGAGAACTACCATAGAGGAGGACGGAGGTGAAAACGGCAAAGGGAAAAAAAAAAAAAAAAAAAAAAAAAAAAAAGGAAAAAAAAAAGGAAAAGAAAAAAAAGAAAAAGAAAAACGAAAGAAAGTGTGGCAGTGCAAAGTCCCACACCAAATTTAAGATAAAAAACAAACAAAAGGCATCGAAAGCCCTTGTTTTTTTCGATGAACAATGTCCGTAGATAGCTCTCTGGGTGGAAGGGGAAAGCAAACAAACAAGAAAAAAGAAAAAAAAAAAAAAAAAAAAAAAAAAAAAAGGGGGAAAGGGAGGGAGGAGGAGGAAACGGATGAGGTCAGCGGCGGCAAAGAAAGATAGCGCGTGACAAACCAGTGCATTCTTATCGTGGTTTGTCGTTCAGTTGTCCTGTCCCGAGGGCTTCGCACGGCCATCGCCTCTGGAGTCCCACCCATGCCGCTCAGCAACACCCACAACTTGAGGCACGCTCAGGTATTTGATGAAGCCTGCTGTCCCAGGACCTTCGGAAACGTAGATGCAATCCGGGTTCGAGGTGTGTGGAACGACGTATCCATTCTGTCTGTGGGAGAAGGAATTGGTCGCGCGTGTACAATTTCGGCCAGCACTGCGATGTACCGAATGTTAATCAGCCTTAATCTGGATAATGCCAAAAAGTTGAGCGGTCACCTACGGGGCGTTGAACCAAAGATCTCTTACGTGGCGTAAATGCAGTCAGTAGGCTGAGACTCACTCAGTACAGCAAACGGAGACCAAGATATGGGTGTCGGCGGCAGCTCGGAGAGTGTGAGAAGAGGAAGGATGAGGAGAAAGGAAGGCCTGGTCGGCAGCAATGGAGGGAGGGAGAGAGAGCTAGGAGAGGCGTTGAGCCAGGGAGATGGAGAGGAATCGGGCATGACTGTCCAATCAGAAGGTCTACTGTCCAAAGACTGCACAGGAGATCAAGCAATTGGTGGACGGCCAAGCACTGAGGGACTGAGAACAGGAGACGATAGGGAGAACGAGAGTGACCGTGTGCAGCAAGAGACGGAGGCAGAGGTGGGAGATAGGCCACGCAGGGGAGATGGAGACTCTGCGGAGCCAGAAATGATGATTCAATCAGAAGGGGTCCCCTTGAGAGACGGTAGTAGAGGGCATCAAATGGGTGGTGGCCGAAACACTGAGGGAACGAGGACACCTGAATACCCGGAGAAAGAGATTGTAGCTCGAAAGCACCAGAGAGAGGAAGCCCTCCGCGATGGATTGAGCGGCGGAGATGGTGAAGACTTGCGTACGATCAGAATACCAGCGGTGCCGAAGGGACACTGTGCCGCTGCTGTTTCTCAGATCAGATTGGAGTCAAGCAATTGTACCCCTGGGCCCAAATGCATCGGTCGGGTCGAGTCCCACGGTCTCTGACCAGTCCACTTGCTGCTGTAGCCCCTGCCAGTCCTGGTCCAGTCAACTCGGCCCAAAAAAATGCCGGACCTGCGGACGGATGGCCATAAGCTGTGGAATCCCGGCCACTTGCCGCTGCTGCTGTTACTTGTTCTGCAGCATGCGTGGATCGCGTGTGCGTACGGCCTACGAAACACCGTAGGCGGCGGACAAGCGCGGTCGATCCGCGGACGCGGCCGAGTCCGCCACCCCCGCGGAGGCGTCCGCGCGGACGCGTGGCGGCCGGTGGGGAGGGGGGTTGGGGATTTGGAAAGCGCCATGGGGCGGCGCATCCCCAGCCCCACCCCCTCAAA